GGTTTAGTGGATGTTTCAGAAATGACTTTAGTTAAATGCCTCATTCACACATGTCAGAGCCCCCGATGGCCTAAATCGCAAGGTTTCCAAGCCCCATTAGGTGTGTGTGTATGCATCTCTGCCTGTGCATGTATGTGTGCGTGTGTGTGTCTGTGCATGCATGTGGAGGGGGCATGTGTGTTTTGTGTGCATGTGTGTGCACAAGTGTGTGCATATGTGTGTGCATGTGTGTGCAGACGTGTGTGCGCACATGTGTGTACATGTGTGGGGCATGTGTGTGGTGTGTGCCTCTGTGCCTGTGTGTGCATATGTGTGGTGTGTGGTGTGTGCATGTGTGTGGTGTGTGCGTGTGTGGTGCGTGGTGTGTGGTGTCTGGTGTGTGCATGTGTGTGGTGTCTGGTGTGTGCATGTGTGTGGTGTGTGTGCATGTGTGTGGTGTGTGGTGTGGTGTGTGCATGTGGGTGTGTGGTGTGTGTGTATGTGTGTGGTGTGAGGTGTGTGGTGTGTGCATGTGGGTGGTGTGTGGTGCGTGCATATGTGTGGTGTGTGCGTGCATGTGTATGTGCACATGTGTGTATATGTGTGTGGTGTGTGCCTGTGTGCCTGTGCGTGCATGTGTATGGTCTGCACATGAGTAGGGTGAGGGGAACAGGATGAGTGAGGCTTGAGCAATCAGCAGGCCTCGAGGGTCTCCCCTGCGTCCCCTGGGACCTCGCAGCTCCATGCCAGCTCTCCCTAACCCCTTAGACTTCTAAGGGTGGAGCCTCAGATGTTAATGGTTCAGACTCTAGGTGCTCTATTTAAACAGTGACTCTCTACCCTGGCCCTATGTTACAATCCCCTGTGGAGTGAGAGATGAAGAACAGCCCAGCACCCAACTGCCCCCACCCTGTGCCTCTGCCCAGAGGTCCCTTTCACCCCACAAGGCGTCTCCTGCTTTAGGCCTGTCCCCAACCCCCTGGGCAGATTTACCAGTCTCTGGTTGCCTGTGGTTGTTAACTCAGATGGCAGCAAATAGCAGTGCCGTGGCTCCTGGGGGATGCCGGGGAGATGACTGCAGCTCACCTGGGGGACAGTGGGGAGATGGCCACAACTCACCGACATCTGGCCCACCTGTGGATCCCAGGAGAGGTGTGAGAATAGACACCAGAGCTCACTGTGTGGAATTACAAGTGATTACATGACACAGAACCCAGTTAGATATTTCAGGGAAATTCAGGAAGACTGAAATAACAGAAGTGAACGACAGGAAAATAAATCTCATCAAGTTACTATAACAAAAAGAAATAAGAAGTAGAAAAACGTTCCTACAGACAATGAAACCATACCGGACAAATGCTCCAAAACAGATGGAAGCTATGATGGGCTGTTTCAAAAGGAACTAAAGGACATCAATAAAATGATATAAGGGGCTGGTGGGGTGGCTCATGCCTATAATCCCAGCACTTTGGGAGGTGGAGGCAGGCGGATCACCTGAGCCCAGGAGTTTGAGACCAGACTCGGCACCATTGACCCCATCTCTGTGGCACATGCTGCGTAATTTCTTTTCTCTACTGATTCCCATTCAAGTTTTCATGAAGGTGAAATTATTGCCTGGTTGGAGGAGGGGCAAGCTGGGCTCTGGGCACAGTGTGGGCGTCAGTTCTGGCTCCGCCATGCCTCGCACAGGACCTGCTGTCCCCGAGCCACAGCCCCACAAGCACGGTGAGCAGAACAGCCTCCCCAGCCTCCTTCCCCTACACACCACGCACGTTCCGGAGCCCGAGTGAAGGGGATTCGGCACGGAACGAGAGGACTCACTAGTCCCCACCCCCAAGTGGCATAGAAACGCCCTGGAAAATCTCGCTTTTTTACCATTGAACTCAGTGTGAGCTGGAAAAGCAGGAGGTCCCACCTTAAGTGGAAGCCGAAGTAAGGACCGTGTCTGCTCACTCCGGCCTCTTGGGAGTCAGCAGAACTCACACGGCTGGACCAACGACGCTCGCTGGGCCCCGTGTGCAGTTGTGGAATCTCTGAGCAAGGTTTGGAGAGAGCGTGGTGGCTGGGATTTCTCTGTACTATGGGATCTGGGCAGACCAAAAGGAAGGCTCAGGGTTGAGCCCTGCAGGACACGAGGACTGCCAGCCAGGGAGCAGCAGAGTGAGTCAGTGCCACACGTCCTGATGGGGAAATAGCAGCCACCTTTCCCCCCAGTAACCCCTCCCCCAACAACCCCAGAAAGCCTCCGGAAGGGAGGGAGACAAGACAGTCACCAAGAGAGAAATAAGCACTTTTACGGAGTGATCACCGCTGTGCAGAAAGTGAAAAAAGGTAACAAAATTGGCGTGCCTGGGAGGGCAGGGACAGAAGCCCTAGTGTGGGGACGGACTGTGCTGGGCCAGGAGGAGATGACACCGGGAATCTTCAGAGGCCACGCCACGTGCTGCAGGAGGGCGTCCGGCTGGGGAGGAGTCGGGGGTCCAGGTTTTGTGGGATCAGAATTCCTACAGCTATGGGTGAAGAAAACAAAATGCCAAGTTCAGAGTTGCCAAGAAAACAAAATGCCAAGTTCAGGGCGTGGGTGAGGCCGTGGATGTGGGTGAGGGCGGGGGTGAGGGCATGGGTGTGGGTAAGGGTGTGGGCATGGGTTAGAGCATGGGTGAGGGTGTGGATGTGGGTGAAGGTATGGATGTGGGTGAGGGCGTGGGAGAGGGTGTGGGCATGGGTGTGGGGGCTGGAACCTGCGTTTCATTCTCTGTGGTGCCCTTTCCATGGGGTATGAGATCCTGTGGCTCCTGCAAGGACCCTGCTTATATTCTAAGTGTGCCTGAGGGTCCCAAGGGGGTTGAAGCATTGAGCTTTATGTTCCAAGGGACCCCTCTTCTGTGGGATTGTGGCACAGCGGGGGGAGGTGGGTTGGAAGAGGACAAGGCCCTGGGCAGGAGAGCAGGTGGCAGGCTTGGGGGTACCCACAGCGGGAGCTGACAGGTTTGCCGACGGCTGGGAGCGGGACGTCAGGAAGGATGGGAGCCAAGAGTAGGGGCTGTGGCTGAGGGGCCGTTTCCTGGGACCAGGGCTGCGGCGGAGAGTTTCTGCTTGGACAGATGGGACGTGAGATGCCCCTTGCGTGGCTGTATATTCCTCAGGTCCTGGCAGGAAGCAGATGATGCCCGGGGCATGGCCAAGAGGTTACCCAGGGGCTGTTTCTCTGAGTAGATGGGGGAGGTGGAAGAGTCGGGGCCAGTGGGGACACAGCTGACTCCATCCTGCGTCTGTAGGGACAAGGGGGGCGTCTGTTATGAGAGATGCGGCCTGGGGAGCAGGGCCACCTCCCAACAGAAGTGGGGGCCTCAGACGGACCTCCTGGGCCTGCTAATGGTGCCTCTGTGGTCATGTTCCCTGTGTCCTGTTGGGGCTACCCACTGGCCGGACCCAAGAGGGGTCAGAGAGTGGAGGTCCCAGAGAGGCAGCCTCGCAGGCTAGCCCCCCGCATGCAGGCCACAGGACCCTCACAGTCACCAAGGCCTGGTCCCCAGAGTTCCAGAGAGGGGGCTGGGCCAGTGATGAGAGCTTGGGGTCCAGCAGCATGCGATGGTCTTGGAGGCCCAGGAAGGAACAGAGGGAAGAGGGCGGGGCTGTGGGTGCGCCCCAGAGTTGTGAGGCCAGAAGATGGGGGCTGTGGGTGCATCCCAGAGTTGTGAGGCCAGAAGATGGGGGCTGTGGGTGCACCCCAGAGTTGTGAGGCCAGGTGATGGGGGCTCTGGGGAGCGTGGGCAGCCAGGTGAGTGGGAGCCCTGAGTCACAAGAGCAATCTCCCAGGGGCTCAAACGCTATGAAGTGGGCAGGAGTCCACCACGGGCCTAACTGCTCAGCTGGGTAGGGGCACCGGAGTCCCGAAATGGCAGGGAAGGGGGCCAGGGTGCTGCTGGAGATCCAGGGCAAATCCGGATTTCAGCCACTTTTTCATCCCATAAATGGACTTTGAGCACCCACTGCCGGTTTGTGGATGGTTGACAGCGTGGACAAGGGTTTGAGCACCTGGATGAAAACACATGGCCCAGAGTCAAAAATCCCAGGGTTCCCCTTAGACACCACCCAGATGGTGCAGTGGCTCAGATTTGTTTCCAGGTTTGCCGAGAACAACATGGGACACAAGCGCAGCTCCTGCCATGTGGGTGAGAATGCAGGGAACGGAGCGGGAGCTGCCCGGGGACACTGCAGGGTACAGCCCCATCCCAACTCAGGGCGGCCCCTGCCCGCTCCTCGCTGGGCCGTGGCCGAGGGGAAGAGTCCCACCCTTTTCCTGGTGGATTCACCTGGGAGGTGACCATGGTCTTGCCTCCCCTGTATCACCTGATCCTGGATTAGGTGCACAGACTTCCGTGGACTGAGTGTGTCCCCTCTGAGGGTTCTCCTGTGGATGCTATGAGTGCACATTCCTGCCCTCCACCAGTCAGGTTTGAGTCCAGGTTTTCGTAGCCGTGTTTGTTAAGGGGTAATTCCAGAATGGAAGATAACCCCCAAGTTTCAAAAAAATCCTCCCCAAATGCACATTCGGTTGTGTGAGTGTGCACCATGGAAGCTCCTCCCAAATACACATTCAGGCCTGAGTGTGCATCATGGAAGCTCCTCCCAAATACACATTCGGCGTGAGTGTGTACACGGCCGGAGCTCCTCCCAAATACACATTCAGCGCGAGTGTGTGCACGGCCGGAGCTCCTCCCAAATACACATTCAGCGCGAGTGTGTGCACGGCCGGAGCTCCTCCCAAATACGCATTCAGCGCGAGTGTGTGCACGGCCGGAGCTCCTCCCAAATACACATGCAGGCGTGAGTGTGTACACGGCCGGAGCTCCTCCCAAATACACATTCAGCGCGAGTGTGTGCACGGCCGGATCCTCCCAAATACACATTCAGCGCGAGTGTGTGCACGGCCGGAGCTCCTCCCAAATACACATGCAGGCGTGAGTGTGTACACGGCCGGAGCTCCTGCCACAGTCGGTCTCACTGTTGTCTTTCAGGTCAGCAAAGTGGAACGTGAGAAAAACCAGGAGCTGCGGCAGGTGCGCGAGCATGAGCAGCACAAGACTGCGGTCTTGCTCACGGAGCTCAAGACGAAGCTGCACGAGGAGAAGATGAAGGAGCTACAGGCCGTGCGTGAGACGCTGCTGCGGCAGCATGAGGCCGAGCTGCTCAGGGTCATCAAGATCAAGGACAACGAGAACCAGCGGCTGCAGGCGCTGCTCAGTGCCCTGCGTGATGGTGGCCCTGACAAGGTCAAGACCGTGCTGCTGTCCGAGGCCAAGGAGGAGGCCAAGAAGGGGTTCGAGGTGGAGAAGGTCAAGATGCAGCAGGAGATCACCGAGCTCAAGGGCGCCAAGAGGCAGGTGGAGGAGGCGCTGACGCTGGTGATTCAGGCGGACAAGATCAAGGCCGCGGAGATCCGCAGTGTGTACCACCTACACCAGGAGGAGATCACCCGCATCAAGAAGGAGTGTGAGCGGGAGATCCGCAGGCTGGTACGTGGGCGGGCAGGGGCGGGCATGGGCGAGAGCACAGGTGTGGGCTCCGGGAGCACGCAGGTAGCACCTGGGCAGCTCTGGCTTCACCCCCCATGACATTCTCAGCACAGGCTCCTCATGCCACCCCTGTTGGTTTTGAGGACCCTAGAGTCATGAGGCCACTAGAAAAGGTTCAGACCCACAGTCAGGCCGCTACAGGGCAGGCCAGACTCTCACCTCCCCTTCTCCACAAACACCAGCTCTACTTCCTTTCTTAACTTGGGCCAGAGCAAGAAACCTAGAAATCGGCGCTGCCCATTCCCACCGCAGGGTTCACGGACACCTCTTCTTAGTGTCCCGGGTTATACCTGACGCCAGGCAAGCCTCAGTGTTTTGCGGCAGGAGTCCCACACGTCTTCATAGGGGGACTCAGAGGGAATTATCCAGTGATTCTCCAGTTGAACTCACTGGATCGAGAGAGACCAGGAGGCCCCGGGGGGTGCGATGGCCTCCGGCTGCCCTGAGGTCCCCGTCTCTGCGAAACCATTGCACTTGGGCTGGACCAGATGAGCTGCCGGATTTGTGGGTCAATGAGGTCTGATGTTGGCACCTATACCTGGAGCATCCTAATAGCTCCAGAGACTCGGGCACCCATAGTAGGCACCAGTAGAGTCGATATTCTCAAAGGCCTGGGGTTCAGCTGACGAGAATGTCCAGGGATTGCAAGGGACTGATTGCACCCGATGCCCCGATGCCCCTTGTCCTTTGGAGAGGAGACTGTCCTGTGATTTGAGGGGAAACGGATCTCTGTCTTAGAGGTGCGTGCCCCAGCCCTGTGCCTCTTCAGGACCCTGAGCCCCGGGCACCTTGATGGGTTGCAGTGATCTTTCCACGTGGTGTGACCGTGCACCTGGGGCAGCTTTCCTCTGCCTGCTTCCTGGGACCTCTGGTCTCCAGGGATGGCCTCCAGGCTGGGCCAGCGTGTGGAACTCCCAGAGAGGGGCAGCCACTCTCCACACCTACAGCCAGGAGGGGAGAACCAGCCACTGTGGAGTAAATATGACCTTGCCACGGCATACACATGGGTGCCCCCAAACATGCCTAACCTGGGTGATCCCCTTCCTTTCCAAAGTGGTCCCTGTTCCAACCTCCCCTACACCTCTTCGCCCTGTCCCAAGCTATATATCGATGTCACCTTAGCAACCCAAGGACCTGGCCCAAGCCAGCACTCGTAAGAACTGGGTGCTTTCCTCGCATGACGCAGAGCTTGCTTTTCTGTGCAGGGAAGGAAGGAAGCATTGCCACTGTCCTGGGAAGGTGGGAGGGACAGGCGGCTGCCTCTGCCCAGTGCCACACGACCCTTTCATTTGTCGTGGTTGGATTCAATGCTCTCAGTAGAGGAAGACGGCTTTTTCCTTAAGTAAAGGCTCGTAACAGAAACCAGCAGTTCCCTGCCATCCCCTCTCACCGTACTAGAGCAGCTACTCGTAACTCCTCTGGCTGATTCTTCTGGATTTTATTTCAAATTTTTGAAAGCATGCTCCAACCTGTGTCTTCACTCTCCATCCTCGCCAGATCTCCCCCTCCACACAGGCTTCTCTGCAGGCAGGGGCAGGCTGATCCTAAAACCTCCCCCAAAGTGCAGGTGTGTCCTCCACACAGGCTTCTCTGCAGGCAGGGGCAGGCTGATCCTAAAACCACCCCCAAAGTGCAGGTGTGTTACCTGGTCTGTGGATTATCTTTTCCCTGTGCTCAGCAGCATCGTGTTATGATCTAAGGTCTTACATTTTAAAGTAAAATGGTCTAATTTGTTTATCTTCCCCCTTAGGATTGGCACTCACTTTGTCTTGTTTAGGAAATCTTTTGATCCCAAAGTTTGGAAGCCTCATCTTTTGAACATGTTATAGTTCCATCTTCCATACTTATGTCTGTAGCAGCCCTTGCTTAAAAGACCGTCTCTCGGCTTCCCACAGCGCCTCTGCCAGCTCGCACCTGTTCTCACAAGAGTGGACTTTCTGCTGTGTCTCATCGTCAGTCCCTCCTCCACCCTACTTTGTAGTAGTTATTCTAGCTTTATAAAAAGGCTTCATTTCTGGAGTAGCACGTTCTCCCACCTCGTTCGCCTTAAAGAGTAACCTGCCTCCTCTTCTTGGCCCTCTAGTATTCCATATAAATTTCAGAATCATCTTTGCTCTAAATAAAAAAAACTGTTGGAATTTTGGGATTTTAACCAAACTGTTCAAGGATAAATTTTAACAGAAGGTATAATCATGACTCTCATACAAACAGTGAACACATGTCAAAGATTTTATTAACTCATTACTTTCAACCAATGCAAATGAGGACTTGACCCACAGAGATTCACATTCCCTGCCTAACAAAAACCATTTGCGTTCCGATGCGCAGGAGTCGTGTCCGTCTGCGCCCAGGAAATGAGCACTTCGCTCACACCCTTCTCAGAGTTTAACTGTTCTTTCCGTGGAGTCGTAGAACAGCCTAATCAGAGACGAAGGCACACCCTCCTGGGGTCAGGTCGTCCCCAGGGGCTCTGGCATTCCAGTACAAGGACAATCAGAAATCTTCTCTTGCCTATTTCAAAGTCTTATATGATCTTTTCCTATAGAATCCGTAGATTTGGGACATCTCCTTTATTTATTGTTTCGATGCTTAAACACACATACACCCTGTCAGTGGGAAGACGGTGCTGCCCGTGAGAGGCCTCCACCACTACCATCCAGGAACTTTGGGTCTGCTTGGGTCCTGTGGAGGAGGGACTGGCTGGGGGCTCACATCCCATCCACAGCGTGACTTGCCCCTTCCCCCAGGGGTGGCTGTTGGAGCCCAGCCCAGTCCGCACAGCTGTTGGGATGCACTTCCTTCTTCTAGTCCTGACCACAGCTGCCCAGGCCTCATCAGGGACACACCTCCCATCAGTTCATCCTCAGCCCCGTTCCCAGAGCCCAGCTATCTCTCTGTCTATATCCTGGTTTTGTGCAATTTAAATAAAATAATGAAAAACCCAGGGAGTACTTGGCTCCATGCCCAGAGCACAAGAGGTGCCCTGAGGGCATCAGCTGGGGTGATGGAGCTTCTGGTGGCACCAGGAATCCAGCCACTGGGACACTTTCTTTCTGGGGACCCTGTCCCAGTGGGGCCCACTTGCCTAACTGACAAGGGCCCCAGGACCTCAGATCTTCTGCTTTAAGGGCCATCATTTATGAGAACATCCCGGCCTCTAAAACCCAGTGATGACGTGCAGGGCTGCTCCCCAGGCCCAGCTGTGAGGGAGTGTGTGGAGTTAAATCTAGGTATGAGGTGGAGGGGCTGGGAGAGCCGGGCAGGTGTGAGGTGGGGGGGCTGGGAGAGCCGGGCAGGTGTGAGGTGGGGGGGCTGGGAGAGCCGGGCAGGTGTGAGGTGGGGGGGCTGGGAGAGCCGGGCAGGTGTGAGGTGGGGGGGCTGGGAGAGCCGGGCAGGTGTGAGGTGGGGGGGCTGGGAGAGCCGGGCAGGTGTGAGGTGGGGGGGCTGGGAGAGCCGGGCAGGTGTGAGGTGGAGGGGCTGGGGGAGCCGGGCAGGTGTGAGGTGGGAGGGATGGGAGAGCCGGGCAGGCGTGAGGTGGGGGGGCTGGGAGAGCCGGGCAGGTGTGAGGTGGGGGGGCTGGGAGAGCCGAGCGGGTGTGAGGTGGGGGGGCTGGAAGAGCCGGGCAGGTGTGCGGCCTCTCCAGCTGTGGGGACTGTGGCACAGTGCGGTGTCCAGCCTGGGGATAAAGGGCAGCTTCGTGAGGATGGGGAAGTCTAGGATGGAAGCTGCTCAGAGAGGGACTCAGCAGGGCTGGGGTAGAAAAGTGGGAGGAAAGTGGCCCAGCCCCAGGGACTGGGGGCGGTCAGAGAAGAGGCAGGCTGGGGTGAGGGCGGGGTTCAGAGGCAGGGCCCTGCCCTGAGAGTCAGCAGAGCCAGTAGAGCTGGGGGTGCACAGCGCTGCTGGGCCTTTGAGCCTGGCAGGAGCTGCAGGCGGGAGGAGCATCATTTCCAGGTTCCAGGACAGCCGCCGACCCAGCTCACAAGGCCCCAGCAAGGCCAGGTGGGTGACAGAGGCCTCGGGTTCTCCCAACAAGAGACCTCAGCTACTATTACAGGTGAAAATATCGCACAACCTTGGTTCCTTACATCAGCCAAACATTTTGCTGTTTTTGTGGCCATAGCACAGGCTGGCACCTGAGTCCTGGAACATTCTGGTGTGGGATGCTCGGCCTCGCCAGGCCCTGAGTGAGGACACAGTGGGTCAGGGATGGATCTCTGCTGCAGGGAGCACCAGCCTCTGGCAGGAATCGATCTTTGCTCACAGTCAGACATGCTCCTTTGAGAGCCGTCCCGTGCTGGCCCCCACGCCCCGGGTGTGGGCACATAGCCGTGGCCCTGGGAGGGTGATCTCTGAGTCTGGGGACGGACAGGCCTGGGGATGGAGCACTGTGGATGAGGCCGGCCTGACTGGGACACTGTGGGAGCTGGGGGTTTCTGTGCCTCCCTCGTTTACTTAGCACCACACGTGTGGCCACAACCCCAGCAAGAACGTGCTGTCTGAGGGCGCTGCTCCCACGGGGTGAACCTGTCCCACCAAAGTCCACCCTGAGGACAGTCACGTCTGGCAGGGCTGATGAAGGAGGGAGGGTCTGAGAGAGTCCTGGGTGTTCAGCACACACTCAGGACCATCATCTGCTCTTCCCAAAATGGACCCCGTGATTCGAGGTTCTGCCTCCCTAATTCTGGCCAGCAAAGCCTACTGTCTTTACTTTGGGTCCGTTTTGTTCACTACTCAGTCCCCAGCACCTAGGGTAGGTGTTCCATAAATATTTGTTGAATGGATTTCATCAAGTGGTGGCCCATTTGCAAAGAGCGCAGCACCCCCATCCTCCCAAAGGCCCAGAGTCAGAGGCCTCCCAGCCCCCCTGGTCGGCTCCCTGGCTTTTGGGACTCTGCCTGCCACCTGCCCCAGCACCCCAGCCTTGGCCCAGACACCAGCCT